CTTCCAACCCAAACCATTCTGTGATTCATTCCGTGATTCTATGTTACTGTCAATTACAGGGTCTTGAGAGAACTGGGAATGTATCTGGGTTGAATCAGCTTAACTGTGTTAACGTTCCTCTAACTATGGGCTAATTGTGAGAAGCCCCTGTAGCTGCTTGGAAATGGAGTTCAGTGGGTTAAGACAAAGCCATTTGCTTAGTTGCCTGCAGAAAGGTTTCCTGACCCAGCAAGAACTGTGGCAGAAGGCACAGCACCAGGAACAGGACTCTGTGGACTCTTTACTGTTCCTAGAGCAGAACCAAAGAGCTCGTTTCTCCCAAATGTGATATCTCATCTACTATTTTGCCAAACACAGGTTCCTGTGAGTGGGAGCTTTGTTTTGTAAGGAAGCAAGGGTGCTCTGAGGAATCCAGAATATAAATGCGTGACACACAGTGCCTTGCTGCTTCTGTTAACGTTTTCTGTAATCACTGATACCAGTAACTACTGGAAACTTTTTTCCTGCGATTGGCAACAGAGTAGTCTTTGAGTGGAAATCTATTGTGGAAGTCTTCTGCTACTTCCCCCCTCAAATTTTCATGTGGTTCTTAGGTAAAAAAGGCTTTTAATATATACCTCACTATTTCATTTTTATTACTGTGGAGCAGTAAACTTCAACCTGTTGTGAGTGTAGAGGAAGGGTGGGTCTCCCTGCCACAGGGAGTTCACTGATGAACTTGAAATAAAGTGATGTGTAGGAAAGAGGGAGGGCAGAGTATGTGGTTTCACAGCATCTTGCTTACCAGCACATTTTTCCTGCACAGCGTGGCTGTTGGTTGAAGGAGTGAGCTGCCAGGGTGCCTGGCAAATACCGCTGTGTTTCAGTTAAGTTAAAAAGGGGGAAAGGGAGATAAAAACTGAAGTTTTAATGCCTCTTTTATTGTTAGGTGTACCATAGCTGATTATCAGGAATGAACATGTCGTAGTGGAGCTGAGCGTGGCGCGGCCGGAGCCCCTGCACTTCTGGGAGCACATACTCATGACCATATATAGGCACATACAGTGCAGAAGGTCGGGCTTTTTCAACCAGTGTCAGTTCCGATGTGCCAGGAACAGGAAGAGTGGTGTGGGGGCTTTCAAAGTCACTGTGTATAACTTATTTAAAATAAAAAAAATTTCAGCATGTCTCAGTCTGGAAAAGGTAGAGAAGTAGGATTTCTATATGTATCTGATGGGTGTCATGCCTTGAGAGAAATTAAATTGTGAAATAAAGGCAGAAGTATAAAAACAAGGCAAATCTAGCATAACTGACACCCTTCTGTGCATTCCTACCGCTGTGCTTGTGCAACCTGAAAACTGCAAATCCTGTGGTATCTGAGTATAGGTACTTGTTGACAGAACAATTGTTTTAATCTCTAGCAGAATGAAGAATTAGGTATTGTTCTGCCTAATATCCATGCTCCTACAACAAACCTTTCTTGTTCTCTTTCGATAAGCTTCTCATTCTGAATTTTTACCTTAACTGAAATAGTTTGCTTTATAAAATCAAAAAGCTTGTAACTAATGTGATGGGTAGCATTTGACATCACTTGAATTGACAAAGTAAATCTCACTAGCTCTTACCTACTGATATTGGACTTCCATTTAAGCGAGAATTGATGACTGTGGTGGATAAGTGAAAATCTGATAAAGAGAACACCTGCAACAGGGAATGCTTCCCGAACTCTTAGTGTTTCAGAAGTTTGGTTTTCTGTGGGTGTTTTGGTTTGGGGGTTTTTTGGGGTTTTTTTTTTGGTAACTTCCTCTCAGCCTCTGTGTGATTTGTCCAAATTAATGCTCAAACCTGCATGAAGTCACATTTCATGAAAATGTGCTTAGATTAGTTTTGTGTATTCTTCGTGAACCATTGATGGATGATCAGATATTCTGGATTAGTGAACTCTGAAGTTTGTAGTTTCTTGCAAGCCACTTTGCAGACACTTAACTGAAAACAGTGACTGTAAATCTAATATTGGAAACAACGTTAATGAAACACTGTCTTAAACTTTAGGTTATGTTTTGGGAGCAACTAGAGTAATAAGTAGAGAAACTTAAGGTGTTTTCTCAGTCTTGGCTTTTGAGTTTTCTGAAGGAATACTCAGCTGTAACCTAATTTTTTGTTACTTGCTGTTACATGTGTAGGGTCCTTGTGCTGCGTGTGCAGGTGCAGTTCTCTTGAATTAAAAAGGTTTTGTCATTTAGATTTCTAAAAATTTAAGTTGTTTCTGTTTTGACTTGTGCAAATCAGTTCTAATAAATTTTTAAAAGTCTCAATGTACTGAATACCCAGCATTGGTTTCAACTGTTATGCGTCCAATAGAAGTGTTTTGTTAAACACTTTATATATTTTGCCCAGCCCAAAACCGATGGAACATTTATTTCAGAACTCAGAATATCTCCGTCCTGTATCCCTGTTTGCCCAGAGCTAACCCAGCCTTGACAAGGGTAGGCAGTCCTGTTCGCATCCTGGAGTAGAGTCAGAACCAAGAAACTGTGTCCCTTCACCTAACTTTGGGCTGGGAGTCAGCCTGATAGTCATGCTGAAAACACAATTAAATACTTGCTCTCAAGTATGAGGCCTAAATTCCCGTCTGATCCCAGACCCTGTAAATTGGTCATTTGATCAAGTGTCCTGGTAACAGAGCCTTGGAGCCTGTCTTCTTGCCCTTTTCATGAGTGCTGTAATAGTATGGTAAGTTGGCTGTATTTCCTGTCCCTTGGATTCCTTTGGATTGAGCTGTGTACCCCGTGTACAGAGTGCCCTGACTTCAACAGGAGAGGTGTGGAGTGTGTCCTCACTGGAAAAGTGTGCAGACTGATGGTTGGGGGTAATCTGACTAATGCAGGTAAGCTTACGTTCCTGTGGGTCAAAGGAGACAATCCAAGTCATGCTTTCTTATCTGGGCAAGTGCTTTAATAAGCTGTCATCAAAGATGCTCATGCCTCTCTGTGTTTCTTGAGAAGAGTAAACCCTGTGGCATTTATCTCAGTATAATGCAAATTTATGTTTACATGGAAAGAGTTCTGATTTAGATATTTGAGGTAGCAGATAAAAGCTGTTTGCAGTCTAAAATGTAGCATTCAATTTAGGAAGTTGGGAACTGACAACCTTTCCATTTCTATTAGCCAGCTCTGAGTGGCTGTGTGCTGTTAATGGGCAGAAAGCTGCCTGGGCTGGTCATTTGGGATCTAATTGAGGTTTGAACACTGCTAATGAGGCAGCTAAGCGCTCAGTCAGGGCACTCTAAGTTCGAACCATCTCTCCTGCAAACTGTTGTCTGAAACTTGGCCCTGTCAAGAACCTGGGGCCCAAACACTGGCTGTATTGCTACCCTCGGGTTTAAAAGCTATTTACAAGTCAATTTAAGATCTCTAGCATGCTCAGACAGTTCACAGAATCACAGAATATTAGGGATTGGAAGGGACCTCGAAAGATCATCTAGTCCAACCCCCCTGCCGGAGCAGGAACCTAAATGAGATCACACAGGAAGGCGTCCAGGCGGGTCTTGAATGTCTCCAGAGAAGGAGACTCCACAACCTCCCTGGGCAGCCTGTTCCAGGGCTCTGTCACCCTCACCGTAAAGAAGTTTCTTCTCAAGTTTAAGTGGAACCTCCTGTGTCCCAGCTCACACCCATTGCCCCTTGTCCTACCATTGGGCATCACTGAGAAGAGCCTGGCTCCATCCTCGTGACATTCACCCTTAACACATTTATAAACATTAATGAGGTCACCCCTCAGTCTCCTCTTCTCCAAGCTAAAGAGACCCAGCTCCCTCAGCCTTTCCTCATAACGGAGGAACTTCTTAGGGTGTTTTTTTTAAACTTTATCTGCTGATACTGTTGCACTAAGAGGCCTCACAGGTAGGTACAGGTGGTTTAGTGTCTACACTAGTGTTTTTAAGCTTGTGTAATCTGTCGATTACTGTCTCACTGTGGGCCTTTTGGAAAGTTTAGAACCATAGGATGTGTATTAAAATTAGAGGAGAAGCTTTGAAGATTGAATGTATCTTCATGGCTTTTGTCTCTCTTGGAATGTGTTGATTCCCAAGCAACCATGGACTGGAAGTTGAAATAGATTGTGAATATATTCTTGATCTTATTTGTTATAGTAATCTTTTTCTTTTTGCCAGTAATACAAAAGATGAGTGACTCAATTTCTCTATCTGCTTCCATCACATATAATTCTCTTTATTCTGTTTGAAGAGGTGGAACTTTATATTCTGTGTTTCTAACAGAGTAGTTTAAATAATGTGAACAAACAGATGAAACAGTGGGAGTTGTACAATGTCATGTCTGGGTATTAAAGCTATACAATGTATGGTTGGTTTGAATAGGAAGGAATACAAGTTATATACAACCACATAATTGTTTCTGTGTTTAAGGTGCGTATAGCAGCGAAATTCATAATTCATGCTCCTCCTGGGGAATTCAATGAGGTGTTCAATGGTGAGTATGTCTCCTCTCTCCTTTCATTTAAGGCATCTCTATCCAAAACTGTATTGCCAATTACTCTTTTGAATTTCATGTAGCTTATATTTTGGCAGCTCACTGCGAGAGCTGGTTTTGTATCTTGGCATAATAAGCTTTCTAGTCATAAGACAACTTGGAGTTTAAATGCAAAAGGAGGAAAGTACCACTTTGCTTTGTGATGTGAGAATAAGCTTTCTTTTTGTTTTAAATCAGTCATGAATTAACAGTTGCGAGGGTTTTTGTTTAGAAGACGTGTAGTTTTTTTAAGTCTTTGTCAGACAATTACATTTTTCAATAAAAATTAAACTAGGTGAAATGAAAATGATATTTTTTAATTAATTTTTTTTTAAAGAATGAATATCATAACAATTGCTTAACCTTGAATGTATGAAGGACTACTGCTTGATGCCAGTTGTGGAAAGAATATAAATCTTCTCCAAACATTTTTAACCTTTAAATTCTGGGCACATTTCATTTTACTGAGTGTATTGGTAAGCTGAATTGAAACTTGAAGTTAGCTTTTCTCAATCACTGTTGCCTGAACTTTATCTAAGATGTTATTTTTCTATAAAAATTGTTGTGTTTGTCTTGCATCAAGATACGTGGGCGTACATATCGTGTAAGAAGGCATACGTTTTGTAGCTGTAGCTTACAAATAGCTCTGGTGCTATTTAAGTAAAGAAGAAGGTTTAATATACTAAACTTTTAGTCAGCATCAGAGAGAGCTTAAATTTAAGAATTTAAAGGATGTAATGTTTTTAGAAGTACTTTGTTCTTCATTTAAACTGTGTCCAGCTGACTATTATTTAAACTTAGCTTGTACTGCATTTGTGAAATGAACTGTTGGTGAGCAGCTCGTTAACCCAGCTCCCCGACGGCTGATACAATTTCATATAGCAGTGCTGCTATAAAATTTATTGTTAAGCTAGTTCATAGTTGCAACTACCTGCTCAATAACAGAGTATAATACGTTTGAAAACACATAACAAGACATTTGATCATAAATGTGTGGCAAGTGTTTAATGAGATTCAGAGTGACTTCTTGAAAAATAAGAGAGAAAGCTTTAAATTCCAATTCTGTAAATTATGATTTTGTTTGGTTGGTTTGGCTTGGAGTTTTTTGGGTTTGTGGGATTGGTGGGGATTTTTTTTTATTTTTTTTTATTTTTTTAAATTTTTTTTGCTTCAGGTGTTTTGTTGTTTTATGTTCTGGTTTTTGTTGTGGGGTTTTTTTAAGGAAAAATACTTCAAATGTATTCTGGAATTTTTTTATTTCGCTTGCATATCTTGGGAATCTTTAGAAAAATTTAAAATGTTACAGTGAGACTAATGATCAGTTAATGATCAGTGCATTAAATTGTTGTTAAAATACTACCTAGTAAATATTAAGACAGTAAGTCAAGTACATAAATAACAATATACTGCATAGTAAGTATGAAGTCATTTTGAGGAGAGTGCTGACTTTATTCTATACTCGTATGTTTCTTATATGATAGTAGAAGAAATGGTATTGTGATATATGGTGCTCTGACATTAAGTGTCATGAAGGAATGAGAGCAAAAACAGTAAGGTTTTTTTGTTTGGTTGGTTGTTGGTTGGTTTTTTTTAGGAAAAAAAAAAGTACAGCACATACCATATTAGTGTTGTCAAAATACAGTAACCACTACCGTCAAAACAGTGTGAGGAATTAGGTAGTTTACATCTTAAAAGTGAACTCATTTGAATCCTGTTCTGTTCTTATTCAGAACATCTCTGAAAACTAGTTTAACAGATTCCTAGAGCTGTCATACAGCCTGTAGAATATGGCTTACATCTGCTTACCAGATTGTGTTGGAAGGGATCCATTTCCATTCTACTTCCCTCATCTGGTTCAGTCAAAATTATGAAATATGAAGCAATAAATTTCCTACATAGTAATCTGTATGGGTATGGGGTGGTTTGGGTTTTTGTTTTGTACAGTCTGTTGACATTAGTTATGTGACTGAAACAAGTTTCTGAGTTAACTCTACTTTTATGTTGTGAATATCTCTTTTCAGATGTTCGGTTGCTGCTTAATAACGACAATCTTCTCAGGGAAGGAGCAGCCCAGTAAGTACCACATGCCACATACTCAGTTGCGTAAAAGCAAGATGTTTTTCAGTAAGACTTTCACTGCCAATACATTATTTGTTTAAAAAGATATGTGCTTAAAACCTTATTATGTGTGTTGTGCATCTTTGATCAAGATTAAATTCTTGGCAGAGGAGAGATCTGTATTGTATGTTGTATAATGAAATGTATATGTATATCAGATGTATAATCTAATCCTAATGATTAGAGCAACTGTTTTGGAAATGGGTGACCTGGATTTTGGAACTAGTCTCTACCTTTTTGGATTTTATTTTCTGTTTCTTGGTAGATGTTATAGGCACTGAACGTCTGTAAAATACTGTTTATTTAGTCCCTACTTTTATATCAAAACATTATGCCTCCTGTATTTGATACCAAAATTAGTTTCATCTGTAAGAATGGAGATGTTTGGCTTAGTAGGTTGGATCCCTGTTGAATTTATCTGTTCCTCCAGTTTCTATGGGTTACTGTAAAGTTTATGTGTTTATCTGTAGTGGGTTACTTTTGAACATAAATCATTGTGTAATGGTGGTTGGCATCTGTAATACGAGCACTGAATGAACCGAGGTGATTCCAATAATTTGGGCCTGCTAGGTAATGAAGTATTGCACAGATTATTAGCTATTATTTAAATCTCTTACAGCTACTAAGGAAAAAGTTTGTGCTTGATGCAGGCTTCTGTTTGTTTTCTTTCCTCTTGTAGTGCATTTGCACAGTACAACTTGGACCAGTTTACTCCAGTAAAAATTGACGGTTATGATGAACAGGTATGAATACAATTAAATACTCGCAATGTTCTTTAAACTGTTAAAGATGCTCTGCTATTGGAACATAACTTGGCAAGAAAATGAAAAATGCATCTTCCCTGCCAAAATATTGAGATTATGGCCCTCTAATAGTACCAGTTCCATAAGCTCATAATTTAGGGCATCTAAAGAGCATGAAATTTCATTCAGTAGTGTTGTCCTAAATTCAGTCAGACCTGATTTGGAGCTGTATAAACAACTTACTCCATCTTTACTACTAGAAGACAGGGATTTCTGTGTTGCATTGTTTGTTGCAGTAGGAGGGTAAGATTCAGGATTTTTTTTTTTTTTTCTGAGTCAATGTGTCATGTTAGCCTCCTCATCTCTTGCCATATACTTTTTTTTTTTTTTAAATGTGAGTCTTTGGGTATGAGTAAACTCCAGTTAATTGTAGGTTATAATTAGATTTGTCATGGGTTATTTTTTTTTCTTTATTCAATAGCAAGTGTTATTAACTAAAATTTTATAAAACAGGTTTTGATAACAGAACATGGTGATTTGGGAAATGGAAAATTTTTGGATCCCAAGAACAAAATTTCTTTTAAATTTGATCACTTAAGAAAGGAAGCTACTGATCCTAGACCCCACGAAGTTGAAAATGCCATAGAATCCTGGAGAAATTCAGTTGAAACAGCAATGAAAGCATATGTGAAAGAACACTACCCAAATGGTGTCTGCACAGTAAGTACTAAATTGTATAACCACTATAGATAGAAAACTAAAATAAAAATGTAACTCTTTGTAAACCAGGAATGTAGTCAGTTTCAACTGTAAAGAATTTAGTCCTGTCAAGGGTTCATACATGGAAATGAGGAAAAGCTTCAGAAATTTAATATTTCAGCTGTTGGATTACTAGTGGGTGCTTACTACAGGTCATGGTGGAGACTTAGCTCTCAGTTCTGAAGAGTTTTTATTTATTTTTCTGATCTTTAATGTTTCATGTACTTAATATCATGTAAGAACCATAGTGTTTATAAAATTAAATTTTATAATTTATGTAACTATAATAGAACTAGGTACCTAAGCAGTTTGAGCAAGACAGATACTGAAATTGAACTAACTCTGGTTTTTTTGTTTGCTTCTTTCTCTAATTAAGGTGTATGGTAAAACAATTGATGGACAGCAGACCATTATTGCATGCATAGAGAGCCATCAGTTTCAAGCAAAAAATTTTTGGTAAGTTTGTTTATGGTTACAGATACAGTGAAATACAGCAAACTGAATAACTGCACTAATGCCATTACACTGATAATCCTTAGTTCAGAGAAGGAGGTGCGTGCACATCTTGCATGTGACTTTTTTGTCACCCAACCTCAAGTTTCTTTTTTCCTATTTTCTTTTTTTTCTTTTTTCCTTTTTTTTTTCTTTTTTTTTTTTTTTTTTTTTTTTTTTTTTTTTTTTTTTTTTTTTTTTTTTTTTTTTTTCTGTGTACTTGGTTGAAAGATATTTTCCACAGTCTGGAGTGAACTTTGGATAGCTCCTTGCAGGAAACTGACCAGAGCTGAGACAAATATCACAGGATCAGAATTGGGTTAAAGTAGTATCTCCTAAAGATAGCTGATATTTGCAGTTGTCTGAAGAAATGCTTTTCATTATTATTTTGTTTGCTCTTTTGCATCTGCTCGAAACTATATTTAGGAATCCCGATGAATGGAAGTGCAGAAATGTTTGTTTTCTGATGCTGAAGGTGAATGTTACATATGCACAGCAATTTCAGCATTTCAGTCTGTATCAGTTAAATGACTTGCCCAGTGTACTGTTCCATACGTTTTAATTCAATTTGCAGTTAATAAATAATTTTTCCCGCTGACTTAAACTTGACTAGTTAAGTCTGCATATTTTACATCAATATTAAAAGTAACTTGAAATAATACTGATTTTCTTTTTAGTTTGGAAGTATGAATTACTTTTGGTATTCCAAATAGTTACTTTAATATTTCAGTCTTTAAATTAAAGAAGAGGAACAGATATGCAACAAACTTTTATGGATGGAGAAAATCTTTCTTGGAAGTTTTCTTTAATAAAGTTGTAGTCAGACATCTGGGTAAATATTGACCATGTTTCTAAGAGTTTTACAGGGGAAGGTCAGACTAATTCTCATTCTTAGCAAGTTTTAATAAATGCATATTGGTTTGGGGGATTTGGGGATGGAGGAATCGATTAAAAGTTAACCAGACTCCTCAGTTAACCAGCTGTATGTCTGGATATCCAGTCCAAGCCACAGACAGTATTTATTCTTAAGGTGTCCCAGCATTTTAGGCATTTGGAAGACTGACAACCTACCATGAAAGCAAGTTTGTTGGATGATAGAAAACCAATACATGCCAAAGAAAAACGTTCTATGAATTTCTGAAATACTATCAACATAGTAGAATAGATGGTTTATTAAAGAATGTGAAAGAAAAGGAAGAGCAGTTAATCTCTTACAAAATATTTTAAGTCAGCAGAGGTAAATAAACTAATGACACACTGCTTTCAACTTGGAGTATTTCCTACAGAACAGTCCTTCAGAACTTGAACTCTTTTCTTGGAATAGCATTTTAAGGACAAAAAAGATATCCCAGAGTGGAAACATTGTGGTCATCTTAACCTCAAGGACCACAAAGTGACTAAGAACAAACAAATCTGTTAGCTAGGCATTGATTCCAGTGCATGTAAAAGCTAATATGGTGCCACTAATGTAGTTCAGCATGTAAACTTCCCTATAACTAATGGGTCCGTCTGAACGCTACCAGTAATATTAATGTCACTGAGTTGGGTGATCCTTTCAGTTTTCTTAGAGGTGCCAACAAGCTTCTGAATTGACTTAGTCTGAATTTTAATTGATAACTTATAATTTGGATATTGTCTGAAATAATAACCAATGGCTTTATAACTGAGTTAACATTGTTAGTATCTTTAGATGCGTCAATATAGACCCAGTAGTAGGTGTTAATCTTAAAGTCTTTTTCTCTCTCCCCTTGTTAAATGCACTGGAATCTACAGCTAGCATTAGTAGGATTGGAACTCAGTATCAACTTTCTTTCCCTCTTTAAGTGTAAAGGAGAAATCGAGACAGCTACAGTGCATTCTTAATATAGCTCTAATGTACTAACCTTCTAATCCACTAACCTCGTACTAAATAAGAAAATGTCTAGTATACAGGAAAGAAATCAGATGAAACTATAATCTCCCCACACTGTTTTCCAGATGTTTGAAACTCCCTTTAAGCAGTTTGGCAAGAATATTGAATCTGTGGAAGGAAACTGGAAGGAAATAGTTGTCCTGGAACAGAAATGCTAGAAGAGCTGAAAGGCCTAGTTGCAGTTCAGCATAATGGAAAATCTTGATACTTTAATGTTCCTTCCATTCAAGTTTTTCTTAGCCTGATCTGAAGTGTGACTTCAGCTGATCCAGCAAGTCGTCTAGGTCCCAGAAACAAAATATTGACTGTATATACCTAATTAATAATAAAAGAGGGAAAGAACAGTGGAGACTTTGTTTTTTTTTTCAGAAGTTAAGTCTTATTATTAAAAGGTCCTTACTAATAAATCTCCTTGGCCCACATCCAAAACTGATGGTAAATATTTTGGGAAACTTGACTGATGATGGGGCTAATCTTTAGGGATGAATTTTGTGCATACATAGCATGCACAGCATATTTAATTCTCTGTTTTCCTTTGACTATCAATTGTATGTTGGTTTTGTTTGGGTTTTTTTTTCTCTTAACCAGTGGGGTGACATCTGGTTTCTATTTTATTTTTTTAAAGGAATGGCCGTTGGAGGTCAGAATGGAAGTTTACAATCACCCCTTCAACCACTCAAGTGGCTGGCATCTTGAAAATTCAGGTATGCTTATCGCAATCTGTGTCCTGACCAGTAAAGTCTCCAGTTATTATCAAGGGAGACTCAGGCCAATGTATTAAGTATTCTGAGAGAATTTGGGGACCCAATAAGCAAAGCAGAGATGCCTATTCAGTTAAGTGTTAGTGACTTAATTGTGTATTTACCTAATCCTTACAAACACAAAATATGTGTTTAATGATTCAGAAGACTTCAGAAGGTGTATTCACCTCGGCCAGGTATATGTCTGTTTGGTTTCCTATTTCTTGAATTTGCGCTGGCACAAGCCTTTCCTGAGGGCAGGCCCTTTCTGAAGTAGAACTTTTTTTCTTTTTAACTGGTAATAGCAGGTTTTTTTCATGTTACCCACCCTATTGTTCAGAAAGGTGGGAAACTTTGGTTTCAGTTATTCCACCATCTGAAATTTTTGAATCCAGATCTCCTTCATTCAGAATTTGTCTTTCATATTGGCTTTAGAGCATTCGGGAAGGTGACACTGTCCCAGCAAGAATGCAGAAATCTTGAGACCAAAGGAAATCTGACTTGTCATGTAGTAGGCAGGGGGACTTGAGTTCCTGGATTGGTTCCCTGGAATGTGTACACATATTTTGCAGGAGTTTATTAAAACAATTGTAGGATCAGAGACTAGAATCTTAGTGCAGTCAGGATTTCTGTATATGTGGTGGTTTCACTTGGCTAGCAGCCAAACACAGCTGTTCACTCCCTTCCCCCCTGCCCAAGGGGATATAGGGGAGAGAACTGGGGGGACAAGGGTAAAGAGAGGTTTGGTTTTTGTTGTTTTTTTTTTTTTTTTTCACAAGACACAGTCACGTTCCCTTTTTTTGCTCTTTTTGTGCCTCCATGAGTTTTATACTTCCTTATTGCTCAGTGACTTGACTTTAGAAGGAATATGCAATGGAATGTTTTTCTAACTATAGCCTGAGACTTAGGATGTTATTTTAGGATCTGGTAGAGGTTTTCAGATCCACCCAAGCAGGGGGCCTGAATCTGATTTCCTATTCTGGGGCAAATTCTGTAACATCTGGAATGATAGTCAAAATGTGGACAATCATTATGTTGTCAGATCAAGATGGTCATGATAAGCAACCTAATAACTTCTATGCTTCTCCAGACTGGGAGAACCTAAATAAACTGTCACTTAAATCCAGCTTGCAGCAAAACAGGCATTTTCTCCACAACATGCACTTTTGGTTAAATGTCTTAAGAGATTTTCCAGAACAAGCAGGGAAGTGTCTACCTAATTCTGGGTAACATTAGCCCAGCAGCTTAGAAAATAGCCTGAATAGGGAATTTAGTCAGGTTTTAATCAGGATCTCAATTTGGGATTTTGTCAAGCTGATTTTGTCTTTTATTACTATTTCACATAATTGATCAAAGTATTATTTACATTCACTGAAGTCTGTGTTTTGGGGAGCGATGAAAAGTTTTAATTTTTTTTTCCTTCTATGGGAACTACTTGTTTTACCAAGGAATTTTGAAGTCAGTTTTAAATTTTTAGAAATTGTGTACAGTTTTCTTCAATGCATGTGAGAGTCCTCCTACTTCCGCTCTCCAAGCCAACAGAAAAGTTCTTTAATTTTTTTTTTAAGGAGCAAAATAATTTTCACTACAACATTAGTGAAATTTCAGAGTACTGAAATTTCAGTGTTATTTGCAGAATCTTTGACAGCAGTATGGCCATTGCCCTGTTTCTGATCAGACCTTTTATCAGGTCTGAATACATTGGAGAAAATTCCAGCATCACCTGCTGTCTTCAGGTATCTTCAGTATTTTTAAGGTCACTTGCACAATTTCTTCCTTTTTTTTTTTTCTAGTAATAATTTCTAGTATAGAAGATTCTCAACTGTTGTAATCTCTTCCATTGTTTAATTTTCTTTTAATTATAAGTGAGGGGAAAACTGCAACAGCAGAGTCTCTTACTAAAACCCTGTGGTGCTTGACATGCTCCAGCTGTGCATGGAATACAACTGATAAGTGTACTAGTTACTAATTTTATCTCTTAGATAATTTGTTATTCTCATCCCTCCTTAGTTAACCTTTCCAAGAGGTTCTATTCATAAACATCATCCCTCTTATAGTCTTCTGAGCCCAGACCTGGCATTCTAGAAGGGCGTCAGCAGTGAGGTATAGTACAGAACAGTTACTTCTCGCATTTTGTATAAGATATAATACATCCCAGAATTAGATTTGACTCTTCATCCCTGTTGGGTTTTTTGGCCTGAGTGTTTACCAAGTATATGGCTCAATGAGACAGATGTTTGTGCTGGTGCTGGCCTCAGAGCACAGGGTAAGTTTGTGCCCTCTGCAGTGGATTGTGACAGAAAAGGGAGGAGATTTGTGCTTCTCTGGGTTCTGCTTGGGAGGTCTCAGAATTTTGCACTGAGTAAGCACTTCTCATCTTTAAGGAACTGGATTTAAAAAGGGTGGCAGAAGTTTCAACCAGTAATGTTTGATGTGAGAAGAAGCTTATTTTATGGTTAGGATGATACCTTTTCTTGAAAAACAAGTATTTGACAATAAGCAAAACAATAATGTAAGATGACTCATAGGAAATAATGTTTTTTCTCATATAGGAAACCTTTCCTGTGGTAGATACAGCTGTCTTACTGTGTCAGGTTTTCTCTGTTATTGTTAATAAGATTGAGGGTCTCTTGCATACATCATGATCCTAGTATATATGAAACTGTAGTATTGTGCAATAATCTCCAAATTAAAACGTCATTTTACCTAATAGGGTGAGACAGAAATGCCTCAGTTCCTCATAACATCAGCTACATTGACTATGTTGAGTTTAGCAAAATTGTAAAAAATCTTTAAAGATACCTGTTTATATGTCAATGAGCTCCGTAACTCTTCTGTTATTGTGAATGATTACATGTAACTTTATATGCTTCCTATTTTTTAAGGTTTCCAACACTTGCACTAGAAACTGAATGTTTTCAGATCCTTCCCAACTGAGTGTAAAAGTACTAAAGTTAACTTGGATAGAGTTCTACTTGTCTTCTGCAAAATAAGCAAGGAAGCTGTTCTGTAGAAATAATACTTCAAGAGTAGATGGATTTCATTCTGTTTTGCTATCTAACCTTGGCAGACTTTGTCCCAAGGAGCTCCTTTGTCTAAATAAATACCAGCTTTGTTACAAGCCATATCTGACAGAGGAAGATAGCAAAACCAGGCAGATGTAGAAAGGGAAGCTTAATGTGGCACTGTCCCTAGAAAACAGTTTGGGTGAAGCAAAAACCAACTTCACAGTGTCCTGAAGCCTTGCTGAAACTATGCTCAGTTTAAATATATCTTCACCATTTCAAGAGTTTCTAATAAGGTCACATAAATAGTATGTCATCTTCATTATTTTAATCAAAACCTTGGTGTAGTGGTGAACAACTCAATGAATTTAAAAGTCTTTTCAACCTAAATGAGGCTATGGTTCTATGTTTCTAAACTTTGCATTAAATACTACTTTAGGCACATCAACACAAAAATGTTTCCGGGGTAGCTTCTTTACTATTCGCCCTCAAAAATATTTACATTCTCCAACGTTTTGGTTTTCCCATTTGTTTTTGTTGATCTGTAACATTTTGTGTGGTTTTGTTTGATTTGTATAGGTTTGTTATTATGATAAATACTACAATACTTTGATTTTCCTTTATGTTGTTAGTCTGTAACGTTTAATATGAGGTTCTTTGTTTAATTTTCTGTAGGTCCATTATTATGAAGATGGTAATGTTCAGCTGGTGAGCCATAAAGACATACAAGATTCTCTAACAGTGTCTGTAAGTGAACTTTAAAGACCTTAAGTGTGTAAATTGAAGTGGCTTTTTAATTTAAAAAGAGAAGCAAGCTTAAAAAAACCCCAGAAGTTTGGAGGCTAATTGGCTCTTCCATATGAATGGGAGTTAATGTTCTAATTTATAAATATTTTGTATGTAATATTTACTACTTTTACCTAATGTAGTTACTGGGTTGGTTTTTTTTAAAGTTAAAAAAAATTAAATTAGTGTATGCTTGCATGTGGCTTATTATAAGTTAAATTAACTTTGCTTGTAAGTCTTTAATTAGCTTTCAGTCTTCCGCACTCCGCGGAATGACCTATAAAAATAATTTTTTAATATGAAGGAGATTTGAGTTATAATAACCCACTTAAGTACTACAGTCTCTAGGAAGTCATCTCCTTTGCTCAGTGGTAGAAGGCCAGTATGCTAAAAATAGTAAATAAATGCTACCAGTTGAGAAGCAGTGGTGGGTATTCTCCCTTCATTTCCTCCCTGTCTGTAACTGGTGCTGTCAGCCTCTTGCTTTACTATACAAAAAGCCCTTTCAGAGATGCTTCAGAAGCTTAACACACTCTATATTTAAAGCATATTTTTTTCAACTTCTTTCCAAATGGATCATTATAGTAATGAGCCGCAGACAGTAGAAATTAAAATTGTTTGGAAATAGTACCAGATGTAGGTAACGTTGCAACATGAACAACTACTACTTTTGAAATAATGTTCCTCTTGCCTACTGGAGATTGTGTTTACAAACAGTAAGATTTTCTGTTGGGACATTCTTTAATAAAACTTGAGCCAGTGCAGTTAAACAGGCAAAGAGAAATTGTAAAAGTGAACAGTAGAGTATTTTAATGATAATGACTAGTAGTGACCAATGTGGCTCAAAAGCTCAATTCATCAATAAAGAACATTGTTTGTTAATACAAAGCAAGGCTTGTTGGCTTTTCAGTTGCAATAGCACCATAAAGAATGGGGAGGTGTGGTGCCAACTGATAACACTTTCGGAGCTGTAGATATAAAATTACTTTTGACCTCCTAAGCAAAAGGATCTGTTTAGTCTTTCATTCAACTAGGAGTTGCTTCAGAGAAGATTATGGGGAAGAAATTCTCCTTTGAATACCTTTTGCTTTGCTTTCTGTTAGGAAGAAACTTAATCCTGTTCCGCATTTTAGTAAAGTAGTGGAAGACTGATGAGCAGAAAAACATCTTTTACATAACTTTCCTACCTCCTGCTAGAACACAAGCATGTATGCTGCCGGTTACCAATTTTTAGCCTTGGCTTTGAGCTTCATAGAAGTCAGAGGCTGTACAGGTTCTTATTTCATACAGAAGTATTGGTAGGGAGATTAAAAGGAGCCCCAGCAACTCCTTTTTTGTTGTTTGGCAGAGAAGCAATTTTGTACTGTCAGTAAGCACAGCTGAAACAAATGACTGAGGAGTTATCTTGTTGCTAGAGCTATGAATAATTTTGCTGAAGGTTACTTTCTTAGCTCTAATTTCTTTCAAGCCAAATAAGACCTCATACCCCTGAATTCTTCCTTTCATTAGCAGAGCCTTTGAAATCATTGCCTCAGTTCGCTGAAAAGTCAAAACCCTTTCATTTGTTTTACTTGGTCTCTACCTCCTCCTTCATCTCTTTCTGCGGTATCCAGGAGCACTTTCACAGCTGCTAGCCGTAGTTTCATTGAAATTTGAAACAGTTGTAGTTGAAGCTGCCACAGCTTTCTCCCAGTCTTTGCCTTTGTAGGAATGAGGGATCACATGGGGGCAATAACACTCCTATCTTTCAACAGCTTCTGCAGAAGCACCCTTAGGACTGTCTCCAACACCAAGCTGGAAGTTTGGAAATCCATGAACCCTCACTTCCTTCTTGAGCTTCTTTCAAGTGCTTCAGCTAATCTGTTTCCAGATTGACTGTTGGGTCATTTTTTATTTTTAAAACAGACACACACTTGCATGCTTAAGAGTGCATGCTCAGAGATATGGTTTAGTAGTGGACAGGTATGGTTGGAATCGATCTCAGAGGTCTTTTCCAGCCAAATGATTCTATGATTCTGTTGAGCCCAAAGCCAAGAGAAACTGTTTATCAGTCATGATGGAATTTGGACATTGTGGTGTGTTGTACCCTCATGTTTGCAAGATGTACTTGGGTATGTTTTTACAAGATCAGGTATATAAAGTCTAGTGTTTGCCTCAGCTTAGTCTCCAGATTCAGAATGCTTAGAGGTGAACAAATTTGTTTGGGTTTTTGGCTTATATTCTGTATACTTCTGGGTTACCTGATGTTCTTTACGTTTTCCTGAATTTTTACTGGAAATTTAACATTGATAATGTTAATATTCATACTTCTTGCATTTTTAGAGACATGTGTTTGTGTGCATTGTCATATTCTTCATATGGCTTTTTATCATATCATAGAATCTTAAATCAGAATATTTTAATGAGCTCCGTGGTAATCTTTATGCTTGTTGCAGTTGGACTGTTTTAAATTTTTTATATAATTAATAATAGAATAATAATGTGACGTATGCCTTTTGGAAGAATGTTTTGTTCAGTTTTGGTTTAGCTACTAAATAGTTATGTGTTCTCGTGGAGTCTACCTGCCATCTCTCATAACTGTAGGAAAAAACATAATTCAGTTGGTATTAGAATCATGCTGTACATGATTAGAATCATGCTAATACAAATGCTGTTTTTCTAGAATGAAGCCCAGACAGCAAAGGAATTTATAAAAATCGTAGAGGCTGCAGAAAATGAGTATCAGGTATGTTGGAAACAAACACTGTATCCTCACTCATGTGTATAACTTCACCATGTTCTTAACCAAAGCTAGTATTCTATAATTATCAAGCTTTTGATACTAAGATAATGCAGATCCATACAAATGTGAATAGATTATATGCTTCTATTAATTGTATCCTCCCTTTCCATACCTTCTGGTGATTGCACTCACCTACTTAATGTTACATTAGAAGTCATTTTTTTAAGAGCAGAAAACTCTCTAGTGTGATCATATATTGGCAATTCTGATGTCTTTCAATATTAGTGCATTCCTTAAGTGGAATTCTTGTACAGGCTCTGTTCAGAGGCTGCTCTGTTAGACAGCTTTCTAAATATGGCTGTAAGCATTATGCATTTCAATCAGTCATTCTGAAGTTAGAAAAGTGTAACTGTGGATTCATGTTCATTTGGGTCTTGAACGTAAGGTAAATTTCAGGCACCACGTTCTGTCAGTTTTTAAAAAATGCTCTTTAATAAAAATTTACTAAGTATATATCATGCGTTATAGTCAAGTTCATATGATGTTGTGGACTGACTCTGCCATCCCCACAGGAAATACAGTGGAAGACTTTGGTGTCTGAAATTAATGATGTATGAGCTAACTCTGATTGGCACTTATTCATGGTACTGATTAACCACACTGTGGTTTGCTGAAACGCCTAGGCTACAGCCTAATTTTCTTCATAGTTTCAATCTAGATCTAACAGATTTCCTTCATAAATTATTATTATTTTAATTTAGCATATTTATATTAAGCATGTTTAAGATATAACAGACTACGCAGTTATTTAACTTTTTATGTAACATCCTAGTTCTGTTCTTCATGTGTCTTAGTTTTGTATGACTTTGTGTTTAACAGACTGCTATCAGTGAGAATTATCAGACTATGTCGGACACTACTTTCAAGGCCTTACGTCGACAATTGCCAGTTACCCGCACCAAGATTGACTGGAACAAGATCCTTAGCTATAAGATTGGAAAAGAGATGCAGAATGCTTAAAGTGAACGTTGCATGACTGGATCATTTTAGTATCCTTGTATACAAATAAAAATTATTACAAAAAATATTTGGAACTGTCAAATCACCCAGTCAGCATGGGCTTTCGCCATTGAAAATCACTGTAAGTAGTTTGGTTAGAGCACAAAGCTTAGCTAATTGACTTTTTTCCTTTTTTTCTTTCTTTTCAGAGGGTTGCAACTTCAGTATAGCTGAGTATCTTCCTTTAGAGTTTCTGTTGTACCTTTATTTTTTATAATGAAGAGACCATGCCTTTAGTTTTCAATTACACATTAAGAACAGTTGGAAAAATATTTTTGCATATGATAACCCTTTCTCTTGCTTTCATGTGAAATGGATAACTTCCAAAACTTGCTGGATTCCTTGTTGAGATCAGTAATGTGCATTTCTATGTCAAGGTCAACATGGAGTTACCCATAGGTGCTGGTTTTGAAATCATCTATCCTTTCATTGTATGTAAAATTGGGAAAAGCGTTTTCTAGATCATTTAAACCTTTCAGAATACTTAATTAGCTAGCTCCATGGTAACTAGTTTTTTTTAAAAAAGAAAAGGCCAAGGTCTAACTCTGTTTTAAGATTTTGAAATTAAATAAAAGTACTTATTTCAGAAATGCATTTAATGCTTTGTTCCTGACAATTACTTAAATGAATTCAAACTCCATCTGCCCTTGAGTTTTTTTATCCTAAAGCCACAAATGTATTATAACAAGGCATATTGTAATATATATAATCCTGTGCTCATTAATATGTCTGTCAGTTTATTTTTTTTTTTTCTTGGATTGAAATGTACTAAAATTCAATGTGACATTAAAATGCAAATTTTCTATTTATTCGAGTATCAGATTGCTTCCTGATATAGCCTATTTTTGGTGTTTCTATATATTTTTAAAATAATGCTTAAAACAGCCACGAACTTGTGGTCTATTGGCTGTTCTCAGTGTATTTGGAAATTGTTGCAATATCATCATCAGTTATTTCCATCTGCATTTAAGAAACATCTACATATGGAAGTCTACTTAAAACAGGTATCTTTTAGTTTTGTATTGGCTACAGAGGACGGAAGAAATTACAAGACTGAAAATAACGCATTTGACTGGAGAGTACTTTCCCTGCCTGATATATCTCGTATTTAAAATGGACATCAGGTATATAAAAACATAGACTTCATTACAAATGCTGTATAATGCTTCTGTGAAATGCATAGATTTAAATTTTAATTCAGTGAAAACCTGTTTTAATGATATGCTCACGATGGAAAACTAAACAGCTTTTTTTTTTTTTTTTTTTAGAGGGCAGGTATTTATGCACACTCCTAAACCAGTAAAGCTTGCACAGAGGTTTTGTCTTTGTTTACAGCAGGATCCAATTAATTACCTTCAACTGTTAAGTTACAACATAGCAAGAGAAAGAGTCTAGAGTTGTACTGAATATAAAAATGTACACACAAAGTAGTTTGCTGTTTGAATTGTAATAGCAATACCCCTATATTTCTGTTCTTCAGTGCTCTCTTATAAAGGGGTATAGAATTAACTGAAGTTCTTGAAATTGCTGCTACTTCACAGTACTGAATTGTATAGTAGAAGAGTGAGATTAGTTCTACCACAGTCTTCCTGGAGAGTTGCCCTCTTAATTGTCTTCATAGGTCAGCTATTGAACCATGTTCTTTAAAAGGAGGCTTATAAAAGCTGTATGTGAGCTAATAACAGATGCTGAGTCACTGTCAAGTCAGTCTGTCAGTCATAACTACGATCTAAACACAAGCCTTGTTTGAAGAATTTCTTCAACAAGCTAAAAAATAAAAGACAGTGAATGGACACTTAGGAGAACTGTTAATGGGCAGCAATGGTGCAAATAACTTTTCTAGCTGTTAGAATACTGTGTATGACCAGAATCAGCACTGGCTAAAAGTCAGAATGCTATTTTTCTTACCTGAAATAAAAAGCTAGTTTTAAATATATTCCTAATAAAGAGGTATCTTACTGTGAAGTACTTTATTGCTGTGTTTCCCTTTCTGTTTATTCAGTCCTGTGATAGTCTTAATTCCTTATCTTCAAAGAATAGCATCTTACAGGTTCAGTTCTACCAGTAGGGTGACATAAGCAGATTTGTATTATTTACTTTTTTTTTTCCTGTTGTGTTAATTTTTAGTCTGTGAGATAATTTTACACCTTGAACATCAAATTTATTAAGTTATAGCTTCAATAAAGCAATTTATAAGTAAATCAGCTACTCTGTTACTTTTTTGAAATGGTATGCTGTATCATATTTAGGGGTAATGATTCCCCAGATGAAGCTGACCTGAGTATCAGCTGAGGCACATTGCACATTTGGAGTTCATAATTTCACTCAAAATTCTGAATGTCACTTGCCCTTTTTTTGTTTCTAACCCTTTTAAATTGGAGAACTTTAGAGCTTGCTTGGTAGGCTTTAGGGTACTTTGTGTAGGTGAAGCACTTTCTCTGAGAAATTTTGCTGTGGCAATTGTCTTAATGTGAATTCCTATTTGTTTATATTCTATTTTTAAATATAAAGAAGCTTTGTATTATGGAATGTTGATGTAGTAGACATTATGGCTTGTAATATGGACTTGTAAAATGCTTGTGTTTATGAAGTTTATTACATCTTATGCATTTCAGCTCTCCTTTATGCAAAGGAATTTTTAACTTATGCAAGTAAGCAATTGTTCTTTCTGAACATCTGCAACAGGAGTGACAATTCTGCTTTCAATTTCTCCTGAGTAGTCCCTGTTCTGTATGTCTGTCTTAATTCACACTGCAGGTAGAATGAAACTTTAAAATCATTGTATTTCTGGTTACATCACTACTGCTGCTTTACATGCTGAAAGCAATTCTGCAGCTGGTTCAGTTGGGAACACTGCAGACCAGTTCATCAGTAAATGGTCATTCAGCCCAGGCTTAAAAGTGTTTCATGAGACTGAACATCCCAATAGATGTGTTCTCTTTAGGGAATGACTCCAGCTGCATCTACGGTGGTGATGTGGTTTGTGCAGTTTGGGAGTAAACACCTCTCATTCCCCCTTCCCACGTACTGGTTTGGCTGACAAAGCAGTTCTGGTGTCCTTGAGTTCACTTACTTTGGGAGAAATCTGAACTGGGAACTGGGCTCTGGGCGTGCACCAAGTGCTCTCCAGCTCCTAATGGTGACCTGAGTCTATAGCAGTGGTTTCCTTCAGGCAGCTTTAAACCACCTATGTGTGGAGGATCTCTAGAGGATCAGACTAAACCTGGCCTTCTAATTTCCGAACTTGTATATGCTGTCAGTATAGAGATTGAACATCAACTGTTTGATTCTACGGCTTCACTCCTGTCATACTGAATTACTTGCTGACACAGACATAGCGTCTGTTGCATTCGTTTACTGGAAAGACTGGAACTGTTCTTCCTCTGATGCAGCTGTAAACTAGGTTTAGATTAAACTTAGTTTGTTCATAACCTTGAAGTGTCAATTTTTGTGTGACAGCGTCAACTCTGAACTTTTTTTTTTTTTGAAAGGGGAAACTTTGCATCAGTTTTAAACAAAAAATAATTTTTTTTTCCACAGCTAAAGGAAACAAACTGTGAATATGTACTTTACTCCTTCTATAAAAATGAATGCTTAGTACTTGGTAGGTTTTCTTATTAGCAGTATTTTCCTCTGCTTCTGTGATTGGCTTACCTGTAACAGATACCGCTCAGCATTATATTATCCGTGTGCTCATCACGAGAGGATAAGAGCAGTAATCGTTGCCTTAAAGCATATATTCTGTAAGCTTGTTTATAGACTTTTCTGTGCATCTTTTCCTTGTAAATCAATAAAGTTGTGCAGAGGCAAATCTGTTAGGTTTATTCCTTATAAGCCAAGAGGAGCATGTAGAGAGTTTTGCCTGACTAGATGTAGTTTGAAATAACTACGGATCTGAAACAGCTTTACAGGGTTGTAAAATGTGCCTGCTAAAGCTGTATTTTGCTGGCTGATTTGGGGGGACACCACCACATGCTAATAATTATAGTAAATACTCATTTCAGTTTTGTATTTAAATGTGCTTGGTATTTTTCAATGTCACATGTATACTGAGTACAGCTACTGTAGACATCAGTGAAATAATTGAGAGTACTTCCTTTAAGTAGTGTCCCAGCGTGCAACTCAAAGTTTGAGTTACTTTTCAAGATTATTTTAGAAATTACTTGGGAACGATAATGTAGAAGGCACAACACTGTGGATGCAAGGCAAGCAGCACTGTGAGGAGAGGTTCAGAAAAACATGCTTATGATCTCGCAAGTGAAAGTGTCCTCAGAGGAATTGCCAGTTATGGTGCAGCAGCCTGCCGAGGCAGAAGTTGCCTCTAGTGGAACATCTGGAACCTAGGCTACTTTCCTCAGAGGTAAAGAGAGTTCTGGTCCCACGAGGTAAAGAAGGGGCTCAAGTCTCCCTGGAACAAATGTTCCTATAACTGTCTAAAAGAAAAGCAGGCTGTCTCCTCTTTTGCAAATAGAGTGTTTATGAACCTAACAAAAATCACAGCCACGAGCTCTCAAATGCAAGAAACATAATTACCTTTCATTCTCTTGGGTTGCAGTGGATTTAAAATGTTTTCCTTGCACCTGCTTGAGCTGCCTCCCAGCCCAGCATGCTGGCTTTCTTGGGTGCTGGATGGTGGTGTGTATTGTCTCAGGCTGGGCATCTGTTACAGAAGCTGGGTACTAAAAGTTAGATGCCCAAAGGCAGAAATGTTCAGATTCTTGCTTTGCTGTGAAGGTACAAGAAGGGCCAGTCATGCAGCGAGGGGCCCAAAGATCAGCCCTGGGATTGGGGATACCATCGTGCTGCCTTTTCCCAGGTAAGGCAGTACAGCCAGTCATAACGCAGGGTGTGTCAGTAAGTTTGTAAGAGGCACAAGAATGTGATCTGTTATTATTTTCCTTGAGGAAGAAAGGTGTCGTGTTCCCACTCAACCAAGTCTCCTGTTCAGCCTGGAGAGCGCGAGCCTGACGCTGAGCTGTGGGGAAAGGGTCAGTTAAACTGAAGTTGCGCTCCAGCAGCGCAGGTCTGCTGGAGGCTGGCAGAGCGCTCACAGCAGGAGTCTGGGGTACACAGAGCCTGTGAGCTGCAGCCTGTGCTGCCTGCCTGGGTACGGGTGCTGTTCCTGACCCTCTGCCTTCCAAATGGCAGTGGCTGTTCTTCCTGTCCTAGCACAGTCTGTCTGAACCCTGTCAGAACTCCTGAGGTTCTGCCCCAAATGTCTCTGTGGCCCGTCTGTTAATAACCTGCGATTTGTATAGCGACCCAGCACCCCTTTCTCCTGGCTGTTGGTCTAACTGTGCAGAAATAACTTCCACATAATTTGGAAGTTAGGGAAGGAGGCTTGAAAAAAGGAGTAAGCTAGTTACAAAATAAATCACTATTCAAAAGATGAACTGGTTTCTTTAATACGTTTTCAGCTTTGCTGTGACACTTAAGGCTAATATATACACAAGCAATTGGAGTAGAAATCGGAGCTTTCAAGAGGCATTAGCAGTTTTAAACTAAGTAGCAGGAAGAAAAATCTGCTTCCTTCTTTCCTTTTATATGACACTGCATTGTCAAACCATTTTTGTTTAAAACTGATGCTGTAAAACTGGTAAGCTTTGCGAGTCTTCCACTTCATTGTAAAAATAGGAACATGAGGTAGTAAAAACATGATTGGCCAAAGACCAGTTGTGGTTAAAGACTCCAAGTTTCAGATATTCAACTGGAAGATTTCCGAACAACAGTGGTGATAGAAATACTGAAATCCTTGAATAGAAAGCCAAAGGCTCATCTTGGTTTTTATTCCATGGTGTGGCAGGATCAG